CTCTTTCAAAAAGATGAAATTCTGTGAGAAAGCAAAGTTCTACCAGGCCTATTTTTGCTTTCACAGACATCTACACATACTAATGATGATTTTAAGACCAAAATAAAATTTTAGAATTTTTAAAAATTCTTTTGGTAGCAGGATCCTTATTGAAAATAGTTTTCAAGGCACTTTTCGAGGTTACAACACACGGACTATACACGATGGTCGCAAGTCCAACTATGTTTAGCCACAGCAGATCTTACGATCATCGTATAAAATGGGACGAAGCAACCATTTTGGCGATTGATAGTTATACGTTCTCTCGCAAAATGAGAGAGTCAATTGAAATCGAGAAGCACAATACTATAGATTAGGAGGAAAAGCCACTAGCTAGTACGTGGCGTGCTCTCGCTCTGGATGCATGCGCGTTAATTAGAATCACTGCACTACGTTTGAAATGGCGTGGTTGATGTACCGTTTAATTAAATTTCAAATGACGCGAGCCAACAGATCACGACACTTTTGTATATATTAGGGACCGGTCATTAATTACAGGGGAGAGGGAGCTGGTGGAAAAAGAGGGTCAGATTTTTTTGAGCATGAAAAAGGGGGGAGGGGCAAACATTTTTGTGCAATATAAATACCTGCTTCGCATGACCCCATTGTACCATAAAACCTACAGATAAAAATAGAGAGCAGTAGAACTGTAGTAAACTCCAACACAACACCATTTATTAAACTGATTTCAACCGATAAACATGTACATTGGAACAGCCGTTGAAAGTTGACTCAATAAATGGTGAAGAATATTTTAATTACAGTACATGTATATAGGGCATAGTTGCCAACTCTCACGGATCCATCATGCATATGAGCAAAACGGATTTTACTAAAACCTCATGGTGAGCTCACAGCTTGTTAATATGTCACGGATTCTCACGGATTTCCGTCGAAAATAACCCAACTGGTTCTTAAATATGTTGGCTTTGTTGCACATTTTAACTATTAAGAGTGAAGTCATTTGCGTCAAATTACATAAAAAATCACGCCATTAATTAAGCCAAAAATAGATAATCAAAACATCACTTCATGCAACCTCATACTCGTGGGTATTCAACAATAAGGTTTTGTACATTTAAAGAAAAGCTACCAAAAGTTTTGTGTTTAAGGTATAGAAGACTCTGAAAATGCCATTTCCAACGATCTAGAGACTCAATATTTTCAAAATGTTTCCGCTTCACTTTATAAGAACTTTAAATTACGAATGTGCCTTTTGTTATTTGCATGTGGGGGGGAGGGGGAGGTCAAGTATAATTGACGTGTTATCCTGAAGGGGAGGCCAACAAAATTTTAGCATCTAATTTTTTGTTTCCACCAGCCCCCCTCCCCTGTAATTAATGACTGGTCCCTAAAAGGGCGTGTGAATTGAACAAGTCACATATTATTAGCACTGATGAAGATCCGGGCTTACGGATCGAAAGCTTTGCAGTAATAAATTTACGTGGCGTTCCCACAAACAATAGTATTATATGTTTTATCGCCATACAAACCTACAAAGAACTTAGTAGGAGTTTTCTTCTCTGAAGTTTTAAAATCAACAGACGTGCAGAAATACACCAACTAAAACAGCAGGTTAAATTTCAACCCAGGGTTAGCGCTAGCCCACCTTTGAACAACCGGCCACTGATGTATATTTTACAGTTTTTATGCAACAGATTGCAGGATATTCACCTACTATAATGTTTCTTGAACTTTCTTCTTTCACATTTTGTCAGTTTTGGTAACATATAGTTCGCTACTATATGGTGACACACGCGTACACGATCACTCTAGCATAGCATATCGCTTTGTGTAGTTGGAAAAGAAGCATGGTGACCACTAATTTTTTTGTGCACTATGTTACTTAAAAAATAGAATAACAACAAGCAAAATATAAAAATATTCTGTAATACCATTTTTTTTAAAACGCAAAAATGTTTTTTTCTTCAATAAAAAGTTTTTGCCATTACAGAATTTTTCATTTTTGGTATATTGATTGACTTTTGCAGTACACTATATTGTGCAAAATTTCAACTTAGGCGGCCGCACGAAATAATGAGATATGGCGCAATGTTTTTCACAAATTGACATTTCTATTGACATCAGTAGTTGACATGCTACGTGTTAGAAAACACGTACAATGGCGCTAGGTGGCGTGAGCAAGTTACCACGTCAGCCGTCAAGTCATGTATTTGTAAGCCCTTTCTACGAATGATCACGCGGATTTGTTCACATAGGATGACGTTTTGTTCTGGTGATTCTTGTACAAGGGATTAATATATCGAACCACCTTAAGGTAACTCGATACAGTTTTTCAAAAATGAAAAATTATCGATTTAGATCCCTACTTTTGGACAAGTATCACTTGTTGAAAAACAAAAAGCATCCTTATGTATAACAACATCTAAAGGATTTTTTCACGAACGTTACGTAACTGCAGTTGTTATGGCAACAATGTTTCACCATGGCGAATATTTTGATTTAATGTAATTTAACCTCAAGGAATTGAGTATAATAGCAAGAAATCAATTTATGAAATAAATTTGGGTGTAACCGATGTCATTCTCGAGTTTAACTTCTTTAAAACCAAAATATTCGCCATCTTGAAAGTTATTGTTGCCACAGCAACGGCATTTCGTGAAAAAATTCAAAGCCTTTTGGGACCGGGCATTATTTATTGAAGAGGGGGTTCTTTCCTAAAATTTTAAAATTGAAAGCCCCCCCCCTTTAAAGAGCAGAAATTTAATGGTGACCCCCTACATATTAGAATATTTTTCTTTGACCCCCAGCCCCCCATTTTCATTCTTACTTGTCAAATGGAGATTCCCAGGCGTTACAGTGTTTTAATTAACAATTAAAATTGTTAAATAAGAATACGGAACTGATAAGCCATTAATGTTCTGAAAAGCAGCCTTCAAATTGTTTCTTATTAATTAACAATTATTCGCCGAAGGCGAGGTGATTATCGGTGAATAAAAACCGAGACGAAGTCGAGGTTTTTATTCACGATAATCACCGAGCCTGAGGTGAATAATTGTTTTAGTATAATTTCATAGGTGATTATTTGGAAAAAAATAAGAAAATACACATTTCTTTGTCATTTAATTGACAAAAAAGCTTCGGCCGCCATTTTGAAAATCGCTTAGGTGATTATCGCGTAATAATCACCTCAACGGCAACCAATCAGCGTGGAGAATTTTCAATAATCTATGTAATTATACTAATACCTATGTAATTATACTAATAAATATTATAAATAAAAGAGGAGTATTTTTATATATAACACTAAAATCAAGTTTCCATTTGGTTTGGGCGATTGTAACCATGTCAAGATAGCTGATGTAATAACACATTGTCAATTTATCACTGCAATCAGTACGTAAAGACTGATTTCCATACAGCACACAAAAGACAAGATAAATCCAGACTATTTCAGATCAGTGACCATGATTTAGTCAACAGGTGGGAAATTTGTCGTCGCTGACCAAAAAATTGCGGGCCGAAACAAAGCTCATTGCATTTACATTCAAAACAAAGCCGAAAGTTAGCAAGAAGCTGTTTTAGCAGACGATTTTTTGCTTTCCATTCAACGATTTACAAATTATTGGTTATTCTTTTAAAAGTCGATCATGAATTCTTTGTTTTGGGATGATTGTTTTGTAATCGAGTGATTGGAAGAAGTTAATATGGCGACGTGAACATGGGAATAAATACCGTATACGTCGATCTATGGCTTGTTTAAAACCGTAATAAACGAAGAAAGACGTGATTTGAGAATGAAATGTAAGTTGAAATTAACTTTATATGCCTCAAATTTTCCACCCTATGTTTCATAATGTAACTTCAGCTGTCTAAGTTCAAAATACAAGCTCGCGAAATTTGACAAATTTTGAAAATATGTAAAAATAGCTTGACTTTGAACTGTAGTTTCTCAAAAATAGCCCGTGGCCTCAATTTCAAATATAGCTAAATGAAAAGAAAAAACTTTTCGGCGTTTGTAGGTATCAAACATATCGTCAGGAAAATAGGGGCTCACAATGTTTTAGTTCAGTCTTTGAGACCCAGTTGCTTCGCACGTGTTGTGGTCAAAAGCTGTCAAATTTTTGCCAAGAATCAAAGGCCGAAATGTGAACTTCCTTCATGAAAACCGCTTCGAGAAGGGTCTAGTTTGAAAATTTAGCTATTAATTTCGATTTCATGAGCATATTTTGGTTACACGTTAAGTATTTTTGTGCTTGATGAGATTCAAAATTTGTTGTATATTCAAGCCCGGCTTTTGTCTAATTTTGGTGATGACCGGAACAGAAATAAAGATATTTTAAAAACTGGCTGTGGCCTCACGATAAAACTTTCTACAAATGTTCTCTGTTTCATGTATTTTTATTTGATATCTTAGGTATAAGCGTAAAAATAGGGGCTCATACAGTTTGAGAGGTTGTAAAATGCATGATTTGCCTCTATTTTCATGTAAACATTCGAAATTCTTCGACAGCAAAGTAGCAACTGTTTCAGATCGAATGCACACGGACAGCCCACCAGAGACAATGGCAGGGTACTGAAATAGAACGTCACTAAAAAATTCTGTATGATTAATTTAGATCATGTCTACTCTTTCAACATAAAACAGTCATTTATTTTGTACAAACATTTGGCAATATTTACACGATTGTGCCTTTTTGTAAACACGCGTTGCGTGTATTCAACGCCATTGCGTGGTTCATTTTACTCGCGCATGCTCAGACAAATCTCCCACCTGTTGATTTAGTCGCAACATTTACAACCAAGTGAATACCAGGCCTATTAAGCAAATTCCTTAGATGTATTTTTACATCAGCAAGATTCTTCAAACAAGTGATAATTGTCCAAAATTTCGTGAATTTTCCTTCTTAAAAAACGATATTGAGCCACCTTAAAGGGGAAAAAGCCTTACAATATTAGGGGCGGACCATTAGAAAAGTGATGGGGGGGAGGGGGGGGGCAAAAGGAAAAGTAAAACTCGAGCAAGGAAAACAGAAAAAAAAATTCGTGCACCAGAAATGTTTGAAAAAACAAATTCGTGCAGAGACTTTCATTGATAGGGAAAATTATAAGTTGACAGGGCCTATCAGAGGTACAGTGTAAGGGTGTCCCCCAAATTTGGAAAATAAGCGTTTTAATCATGTTTTAATCATTTGGAAAATGCGTTTTAAACTTTAACTAAAGTGATGTTAGTTCGAAAAAAATTTTTTTGACCGTTCTTTTCATTGTCCTGAAAACATTTTTGAGTCCGGAAAAAAATTTTCACCTCCCCCCCCCGCCAACAATTTTTGGAAAAAAATAAAATTCGAGCAAGGGATTATTTAAAAAAAAAATAAACGACACAGCAAAATTTTTTGAAAAAAAACGTACACGTTGAAAATGGACCACCCCCATCACTTTTCTAATGGTCCGCCTCTTACTACTATAACCATAAAATGACATTTTAATTTAGACAAGAAAACATTTAAAAGACTAGGAACGGTTTTGCCATGTAATATGCACAAAAAATGTGCTTAGCAATTAATTCCATCTGTCTTCTTGTCACATTTTATGGCAGGAAACAGCAGATTTGTACCCTGGTTGCCAGAGGTTCTGTATCTTTCGCCTTATTCCCGCTCGTATATTTATTTTACGCGAGGCGAAGAGAACCTCTGGTGGCACGCGATACAAATCTCTCTTCCTTTGGTACAAAATTTGTACCAAGCACATGATTGGTTAGTTATAATTAGCAGTCACATGAAGTGATGTGATTGGCTAGACAAAAAAACCTGTTTATAAATCTTAGAGACACGATGTAAACAAAATACAGAAATAATACGAACGTATTAAAATGCTTTACTCAGTGTGGGTTATTTGAGTTTAACTTAGTTTGTTCCGCTATAAAAAGACTTTCGGCGCTGGAGAAGAGCTGCAGGGCCATCGCGGCATGACTAATATTTGTAAAATATAAAGTGTCGGTCACTTGCTTTATATCGTTCAAGGTTTTAAATTTTGGCAATTCTTTGACTTTAAATTAATAGTTATTAATATGATTTATTTTGCCAATATTTTTCCGTTGTCTGTTAAGGACAACCATACTGGCTCCGTTGCACACGTATATATAAATATTTATATGTTTATATTCTTTCACATTTGACGCTATAAATAGACCTAATACAAACGGCATTCCACAATCAGTAAGGTTGCTTTTTGCTTTGTGCGTTACGAGAATAATCTACATGTTTCTAATGAATAATCTACATGTTTCGGCTGCTTATTTTTAGTATTTTACACATGCAAGGCTGTCTGAAGAGAGCTATTTTGGTAGTATGACAAACCCGGAAGTTTAAAAACGTCACAAAATATAAACCGGTTTTGCAAGTTCTCAAACGGCAACGTCAGCATGGAAGAGAGATTTGTATCGCGTGCCACCAGAGGTTCTCTTCGCCTCGCGTAAAATAAATATACGAGCGGGAATAAGGCGAAAGATACAGAACCTCTGGCAACCAGGGTAGCAGATTTGTTACTAAGAAAAAATACAGTTAAATTTTGTTTTATTTTTTGCTTCTTCGGGGGAAGAGTTTTCTACAAAATTCCACCGAAACCATTGCAAAACAAAATCTTTCCGCCATCTTTACGTAATGGTCCATGGTGAGTACAGATGGTTGAGTGTCAGAGGATGGTTGAGTGTCAGGGTCTTCCCGAAATGCAACGCGCGAATCAGTGCGGCTCATTATTATTCAAGCTATTTATTCTCAACACGCCGTTCGATTAAAAATTGTTGAAATATATTGCGATTTTTGCTGTGAAGATCTCGTTTTCTCAAAGGTATGATTTGATAACCGTTTTGTTTAGTAATTTAATAAAAGAAGTTTTGAATAATTTTGTATATATGTATATATTTACTTATGTTAAATTCCCATTGTATTTATGCATGTTTTAGGTGTTGAAAAAGTGGCATTGCAATATTCTGGAGTAAATTGTACTTTTCTACAAGGAAACTAAAATAAAATTACATCAGTGAATTCAGGAATGTTTACTCTTTATATTGATACTTTAAAACATGAATTTACTCCATAAAACCGAAGAGTTATCGCGGTTTGAAAATGAGCTATTTTTGCTACTTATCGAATATAGCAAAAATAGCTCATTTTCAAACCGCGAGAACTTTCGGTTTTATGAAGTAAATTCATGTTTTAAAGTATCAATATAAAGAGTAAACATTCCTGAATTCACGGATGTAATTTTATTTTAGTTTCCTAGTATAAAAGTACAATTTACTCCAGAATATTTCAATGCCACTTTTTCAACACCCAAAATATGCATAAATACAATGGGAATTTAACATAAGTAAAATGCGATATATATACAAAATTATTCAAAACTTCTTTTATTAGATTACTAAACAAAAAGGTTATCAAAACATACCTTTGAGAAAACAAGATCTTCACAGCAATAATAGCAATATATTTCAACAGTTTTTAACCGAACGGCGTGTTGAGAATAAATAGCTTGAATAATAATGAGCCGCACTGATTCGCGCGTTGCATTTCGGGAAGACCCTCATTCCTCCTCTGGTTGAGTGTATAGTAATTAGCCTTTCTCACGATGACGAATATCCGCCATTTTTGGGTGGCATCTATAATTCTCGTTAACCAATGTAGACAACTAAAAAAATGTGAAAAGCAATTTTTAAAATAAACTAACCATTTACAAAGCAAATTGACCATCATTCGCCCAAAAGAACACAAAAAGTCGCTGTTATGTGGACTTCGAAAAGCCACCCAAAAATGGCAGCGTGAGAAAGTGTAATTGAACACAACTAGCGTTGATTGTGGTGAATATAAAAAAGAAATGCGTTCACGCACTAAACATGAGGGTGCACCCACTCAGGCACCCACTCACTTGAATGCAGTACTAAAAACAAAACAAAACAGTGGAATACACGATATTTATTAATACATTGTATACGAAGTAGTCCTTATAATCTTTTCAAAGTATATCAGTGTTTTAGTAAAATATAAAGCCAGTTCTATACGGAATATTCATATTGGTACATGGACAGCATCAAACTCATCATACTCATCTTCATTCAGTTCTTCAGCTTCGTTGTCTAACAACTCAAGTTCTTGCTCATCATACCAATACACAAGTGACTTGCGCAGTGGAATCAAACACAACACGAAGAAGGGGAATGTTGGAGCCAGCATTGTTTGCTTGATCAAAATAATAATACAAACACATATGGATTGGATTATGGTGAATACATGCATCTTTTTTGTGGTGACTTTAAGGACGTACGAGACGTCAGGATGGTGGTTTGGTGGCATGAACAACATCTTCACTCGTTCACACAGCTGTATATGAGAGAGTGAACAGACTCCAAGGTAGAGTAGAACTCCTGCCAGGACTGGGATTGGAACAGCACGCAACACTGGAGCTAGGAATGCTGATAGTCCGATCAGAATATGAATGACAATGTTTGTAACTCTCTGCTCCTTGACTTCCACGAGAAGCGGCCGTTCACCGGGCGCTTGGTCGTTGTTAAACACCATGAGTGCATGAAGATGGGACATGGAATGTATTGGTGATGCACAAAGCCAGGGGAAGCCAAGTAAGGAACACAAGCATACGATTAAACCAACGACAATGAGATCTAGATTGTATCCAGTGCCTTTCTTCAGCTTGAACTCCTTCTTATCAAGAATAAGACCAGTGAGCTCGACCTCCATGAAGATCAAGATACTGACAAAAACGGCGGGTATCATAGCACTAACAATGCTCAGAACGTTCATGCTATTTCCTGTTCCCATCGGATTTACAAACCAACCAATTCTCTCAGTTTTTGTTTTGTCGAAACCGCCTGGTACTACGAGCTGCGAGACAGAGGTGTTGTCGTCAAGGTTGTAATAGGCCACCATGGATAATATGGCTATAAGGACTCCAAAATCGCTAACAATGCGCCGTATGAGATGATCAAAGAAATGCGAATGGCGAAACCTGCGGAACAGGTAAGAAATTATGAATGTCCCGAGAACTAGTAGAAGTGCGAGATGGCCAGATGCTGAAGAATTTGTAGTGGTGGTAGTTGTGATATTGGATATTGTAGTATTCGTTGTGACAGGACTATCATATTCATCAATAACGATAACTATTGCATCGTAGATAAACGTAAATGCTATGAGACAAGCAAATATTTCTTCGGTGAACCGCGTGAAATAACGAACTAGAAAACATCCCTCAAAAGCGACAATGACGAAACAGATAAACATAACCCAAATCCCAATCCAAGCCCGAAACGGTAGATACTCGATATTCAAGTTCTCCGATAATTCGTAGGTACTTTTTTCGAAGACTACCAGCGGACCAGTGAACGAAATGATGGTAAGTGGTTGACCAGCTAGCAGCGCGAATATGATACCAGCAAGACCAGTAGCTAAGATAGTCTCCGAGACGCCGATCCATCCTCCAGTTTTCTCGCTAAGTATTCCACCAAATGTTATTGCCGGTGCTAAAGAGGCGATGTAAACAAACACGATGGCGGCAAGGCAGTGAATATCGAAAGCATCAGTGAAATCACTGATGTAGTTGGAGAATCGACGTTTTATATCTCTGACAAGCCCGCCACAGAAGCGTCCAGTGCGCTCCAACGAGTCTTCCACTGGACCTTGCACCTTGTCAATATCTTCTTGAGCTACAGCGCTGTCTTTCCGTCTACGAATTTGGAACATCTTTTGGCTTTGATTTTCTAGCACAGGAATGGTTTGCAGTAATATCTGTCGGTCCCATTCTCCTGGAGGTATTACCACACAGCAGTTGAGAAATTCATCAATTGTTCGCAACAGAATCTCGCGTTCCTAAAACACAATGTTGCATTTCAGAGTCGAGTGGCAACAATAAAGTGAATATGAAGCGAAAGAAATTGTTCCCTTGTCATTATGCAGTTATCACTTTGGATCAGCAAGCCCAGATCTACATCACTGAGTTTGGCGACCGGCAACGGCAGAAGACAAAAATACTTGCATGCGAGCTATAAATCATATAATATAAAAATATTTTTTCACGAACCTGAAATTCGCAATTTTACAGAATCGTTCACAGAGACCTTATAGCCGAGCTTATAGCAACAACACTCAGCTCGCTTAGGCGATGCAGCGCGGGTCATTGAGTTTATATGGGAAATTCCCAGCCCGCCGTCACCCGAGATCTCGCTTTGGCGGGTTAGCTCAGTTCCATTATAAACGCAAAATGAAATTAAGGGGCTGTTTATATGGAAGCCGGCCTGGCCCGTTTAACGAGAAAGCCCAGTAAACGAGATCTCGCTGTGTAGTTATTTTATAGTAAACATTAATGGGCGTTTATATGGCAATCGGGCTGGCCCGGTTGCCAAGATCTCGCTTGAAAGAGGCGAGATCTCGTTAAACAGGATGAAAATTTAAACAAAAGAGAAATTCATCCCGCTTACTGTAATAATGAGCTTGGAACGCTAGTTCTTGTTTAGTTTAAGCGTTTGAATGAAAAGTCAAAAGTTCTAGCATGAGGCCAGGAACGTTGTGAAGGGCGTGGTGATACGTTGTCGCTGCTATACACGAATTGTCAAGGTGCTCTTCTGCGATGTTATCAAGCACCTTTCATACCGCACAAGATCTTGATATCCTAAGTATGCCGGACGTCGAGCGGCCAAGGATTCTTTAAATACAGAGGTACTAAAATACGAAGCATTCGGGAAAGACAAAACCCATTTGTGATTTAAACCTTTTTAAAACTAAACTAAAACACGAACTTCTTAATGAAACACCTATTTTGAAAAACCTAACGACTAAATTGCCTCAATTGTAAACAGATTTTGCATATTAAGTAACTTAGATCTAACCTTTAATAAAACATTTATTGATATAAATTGTCATTGAAAAGCCTGTTAGTATGTAATATAATATGATGTAGGCTAATGCCGAAGAACTTGCGCGTTGAATTGCACGGTATTATCCAACTGGATAGTTATAGCACTCTATATATAAACGCGCCACTGTAAAGGAGACGCTAAATTTGCGAATTCCTATGTGCTCCAGCTTACTCTGTGAGCAGCATCAGAAAGAGCGGATCAAAATACTCCTAGAAAATGTGTTTATTGTAAAACACTGTGAGGAATTGTGGACAATTTTCAGGTAAGCCAGTAAATGATATTGCGTACTTCGTATTGGTCTGCAAATACGGTCTACGTAAGAATTATTATACTAACGAATATACTGCATTATATGAAACATTCTGAATTTTTGCATCTTATCACTGCATCATATGAGCAGCTCGATCTCTTCCGAAAATTAAGGCTATGCTTAATTGTGAAAAGCGTTCAAATTAAGACATTGCCTTAATTTGAACCCTAACACCCACCTAACCCCCACCCTAACCTATATTGTATTGTGAACTTTATTTAGTCACGGTGGACTCATCAGGATTTTACACACTTATGATAAAGTAACAAAGGAAATTAGATATATGATAAATTATACTATACATATTTACAAAACTACCTGTTTTTCATGAGTGCCGTGCATTAAATTGATAAAATTAGATAAAATATTTAAAAATTATTGAATAAAGTTGCTACAGTCAGACTTAAATTTATGTAAAGTACTAGCCTGGCTTAACTCAGTAGGAAGAGAATTCCACAGTACTGCACCGCTATAACTAAAGCTATTTTTCAAGTAATTAGTACGCGGTAGTGACAAAGCTAGTTTGTTACTGGTGTCTCTCAATGCATAATTTGTGATACTATTGCGATCAACAAACATATTAGAAAGATAATCTGGAGCAAGACCATTGAAGGATTTATACACCATGATAGCCTTGGTAAGCCTACGCTGAGATACAAGATTTTTCCATCCAAGACTTTCGAAAAGATAATCGGCATTTGTATCATAACTAGAAGATGTCAATACCCTGGCAGCACGATTTTGTAATTTTTGCAATTTGTTAACTAGATAACTACTGCAACTATCCCAGACAGCAGAGCAGTAGTCGAAATATGGTTGAACGAAGCACTTGTAAATAAGTTGCATTGTGGTAAAAGGAACATAAGGTCTAATGCGTTTTAGTGCACCAATACCGGAAGCAACTTTTTTACTCAGTTTCTCAATATGAACATTCCAGGATAAGTTCTCATCAATGTGTACGCTGAGTGATTTTGTATGAGAGACTTGTTTAACTGGAACGTTATTTATTACTAATAAAGGAGTAGATTGAAAAGTGTTTATTCTTTGGCGAGAGCCAATTAGCATAAATTCAGTTTTAGTCTGGTTTAAAGTAAGTTTGTTTGCTGATAACCA